GCAGAAAGAATATTGTATACATAATAAATAAATAAATAAATAAATAAATAAATAAATATTAAAAAAATGATTGTTGTTGTGAGTATATTGGCAGTTGCCTATAATCTCAATAGTTGGGAGACAGAAGCAGGATTAGGAGTTCAAGGTCATCCATGACATATTTAAAGATAAATCTCTCAAATATACACATTAAGTATTTAAATTCAAAAAAAAAAGTAAGCTGGTAATCCCAGCACTGGAGAGACATAGCAAGAGATATTACTATGAATTTGGGGCCAACTTTGGCTACGTTATATGATAATAATAAGGTTCAGAATTACAGCTCAGTTGATAAAGAGTGCTTTTCTCGCCTTTATGTACCCCTGGGGTCTTTCCCCAACATTGCAGTTTATATGGAGCTTACCTAGGTTACATAAGACAATATCAAAAGACTAATAAGGAAGCATATTTCCTTGTTTTAGATAAATGACTCAAGATGACAATGAAGATAAATGTCATTAAGATGACAATTCTCTAAACCAGTTTATATGTGTAATGTGGTCTTTTTTTAAATTCATTTGAAATGATGGGCTAATTCTGTAACTCCTGGGGTTAAGGCTTTGATCAACAGCACACTATGGCAAATGTATACAATATATATTTGTTGCGTTTTTATATATTATGTGTGTGTTTGCTCGTGGTGCACACGTGTCACATCGCAAATGTGGAGGTCAGAGAACAACTTTCCAAATTGTTCTGATGTTTGTCCTGTGGAACCTGAGACTGAGCAGACTGAGCACAGGCTGCAAGTGTATTTACCTCTGAGTCATCTCACAGGTACTGATTCTAAGATTTATATAGTGCCCAGCAGATGTGCTGGCTCATGCCTGTAACTGCAGTACTTGGGAGGCTGAACCAAGGGGTTTTCCAAGATTTCAAAGCCAGCCTGAAATACAGAGACCTTGTCTTAAAAAGCATAAAAGTGAGACGGGCAGTGGTGGTACATGCCTTCAATTCCAGCACTTGGGAAACAGAGGCCAGCAGATCTCTGTGAGTTCAAGGCCAGCCTGGTCTACAGAGAGAATTCTTCGACAGTCTAGAATACCTAGGCTACATAAAGAAATCCTGTCTCAAAAAACAAAATAAGGCCAGGCGGTGGTAGCACACCTCTAATCCAGTTCAGAGTCAGAGTTGTAGTCAGTCTACAGAGGGAGTTCCAGGATAGCCAGAGCTACAAGAAAGAAAGTAGTCCTTCAGGCTTCAGGCTTCAGCTAGTGTATTGGTGAAATCTTTCCTGAAGATAAGTTCCTCCTCTGGTTGACCAATGGCCCTAGCCATTTCCTTCCTTACATTAGATCTCTGTGAGGGAACACTGTTCTAGTTATCTTATAACCAAGGTAGCCGCCGCCACCACCACCACCACCGGGGCTCATCTACTTGAATATTTGGTTTCCAGTGATCGGAACTGTGGGTGAATGTGTTACACCTTTGGAGTTGCAGAGATACCCTGATCTATCGGGAAGCCAGGCTAGACTGGAGGGATAGGGCCGCAATAGGACAGCTCAGCTCTGGAGAGTAGAGCTCTGCTCCATTCCCTTAAGGGAAAACGTTTTAACAGAGCTGTCTGCTTCTTCTCTGGTCCAAGATGTTACTTCTTTTGCTAACACTGTTCTACAAGGAAGCCCCTGCAGAAATGTAGCCATCTCTTCTGACTGCTGCTAAAAGTTGTTACTTTTTTCTGCTTTTCCTTGCTCAGCCCCCCTTAAGGAGCGACCTAGCAGGGTTCTTCTTTCTGTTCTGTTCCTCCTTGCTCAGTTCTCAGTGATTGTTTGGTTTCCTGCTCCAGTTGTCCCTTTTACTCTACAGGAACTATCTGGTAAAGGGTAGGAAGTGTATTCTTGTTGTAGGAAGTGTGTCACTGGGGTTGGGCTCAGTTTCTTGTTCTCTGCCCCCATTTTGTGGATAAGATGTAAACTCTTAGCTACTGCTCCAGTTCCATTCCTGCTGCCGCCATGCTCCCCACCATGATGGACTAACCCTCTGAAACTAAGCTTTCTTATGCTTTCTTTTATAGGCTGCCTTGGTCATGGTGTCTCCTCACAGCAATAGAACAGTAACTAAGATACCCCTTTAATCCTAACACTTGGGAAACAGAAGCAGCCAGATCTATGTGAGTTGAAGGCTAGCTAGGTCTTCATAGTGAAACTCTATCTCTAAGAAAAGAATATCCATTCCTGCCAGGACTATAAACATATAGTATGCTTTATTGAAGCAGAAAGTCTGGAAATAGGGCCTTTGAGTTTATGTCGTTGATATAGGTATAAAAGTCTCCAAGCTTGATGATCTGAATCACAATAAATATATTTTTTAAAAAATTTTAAAGACCAGAAATAGTTACTCTTAATATACTTCCTTTAAAAATATTTTTATCATATTTATCTATTGTATGTGTTTTTGTCACAAGGGCACAGGACAGAGGTCAAAGGACAACTTACAGAAATCAGTTATGCCTTTTTGTTTCTTATTATTTTATTTATTTATTCATTTATTTATTATGTAGGTCCCAGGGATGGATCTCAGACCTGGCAACAAGTGCTTTTAAACACTGACCTGTCTGTATGACCTTATACATTGACTTTTGGTTCATTTGTTTGTTTTTATGAAGATGTTTTTTCAGGCTGGCTTAGAGTCATTGTGTAACCCAGCCTGGGCTAGAAATCAAAGAAATCCTGTCTCAGCCTCAGAAATTCTGGGTTTTCAGCCACCACTCGTGTCCTTTCAGTTCATTCTTCTCAAACATGATTCTAATGTTATAATGACAGTCTTTTTAACAGAAATGAAAAACAGCTAGATGGCTTTATAAAGAGAGAGGACCATTGACTGTAGACCACGGGAATTTTAACTTGAAATATAGGTTTCTGTGAACTTTCTAAAACCATAAAACTTGATCATATAGGAGAAAAATCTTCATGATAGACAGATTTCAAAGGCTGATCGTGGCACTCTGGAGGCTGAGGTAAGAGGGTCACTGTGCAGTTAATACCAACCTGGAGTAATGGAGAGTTCCAGTCTTTTGCATAGTATTATGACGTTAGCCTCTAACCCCAGGAGTGGAGAGTTGAGATGGGAGGGTCAGGAATTCAGGGCCGACCTCAATGATGTAATGTTTTATTTTGAAGCTGGCCTTCACTACTTGAGTCCCCATCTCAACAATGAAAAAGGGGGGGGTGGGAATAAAAGAAAAGAAAGAAGAAACATTTTTAGTGGTCATGGATATGATCACACCAAAATTTCAGTGTTTGGGAGACGCTCTTTTCATTCCCTGCTACTCCAGAGGCTAACATGTACATGCCTATGCAGGACCTTAGGCTTAAGCCTCAATAGTTAGGGAAAAATAATGAAAGGAGTAATATTTCCTTTACCAAAACCAAACATTTTGTTGTTGGTTAGGGCTGGTATTGCTGTCGCTATCAGTGAGGAGGTAGATGCTGGCGCCTGGGTTACAGGAGACCTAAAACCAAGGAGCTAAGTCTTAGGAAGCTGAGAGTTGGCACAAAAGGGTGGGGAAACAGAGAACCACGTCACCCAGCACTCTGAAGGAGGAGGCAGATAAATCTGTGAGTTATAGAGCCTGTCTCAATTTAAGAAAAAGAAACACCTTTAATCCCAACACTTGGGGGGCAGTGGCAGGTGGATCTCTGTGAGTTTGAGGTCAGCCTGGTCTACAGAGCGAGTTCCAGGACAGGCACCAAAGCTACAGAGAAACCCTGTCTTGAAAAAAAGAAAAAGATTTTCATTTAAGCAAGGAAATTAGGGAAGGGCAAAATAGCTCACTTGATAAAAGCACATGGCACCAAGCATAAAGAATAAACTGTGGTCTCAGACCCCATGCTAAAGAGAAACCAGCTCCAATAACTTGTTCCCTGACCTTTCCATACATGAGCTATGCTACAAATGCTCCCCCCACACACAGTAAGTTCAATTTCATGTCCCATAATTTTCTATTTTTTATACAATCAATCCATTTGTTAGCTTTGTTTTGGTTAGCTTTGTAGACTTGCTCTGTAGACAGGCTGGCCTCAAACTCACAGAAATCCACCTGCTTCTGATTCCTGAGTGCTAGGATTAAAGGTGTGTGCCATCACTGTCTGACTAATGAGTTTCTTTTAAAGAAGCTAAGAAAAAAGGGACCAGAGAGATGGCTCAGCAGGTAAGAGCACTTGCTGTCTTAAAGAGTACATTGATTCTGTTCCCAGCATCCACATAGTTGTTTACAGCCACCTGCATCTTCAGTTACTCTGGATCCAGACAGACCCTGTCTTTTGTCCTCCAAAGGCCAAAATGTGTTTTGGTCACACTTAAATAAATTCAGTCAAAAAAAAAACAAAAACAAAGAAAAGCAAACACACACCAAAACCACAACTTAGGTGTAGATGTAGAAGAGATTATTGATGGCTAAGAACATTTTTGTAGCTATCCCAGCACTTCTTGCTCTTGAAGCAAGGTTCGGAGAACACACATGGTTGTTGACAAACATGCATGAATCCAGTTCCAGGGCATCTTCTGAACTACACATCAAGCACACACATGGTACACACACATATATGCAGGTGCAACACATGAATGGATAAATCTGGGCCTGGTGGTGGGGCATGTGCCTTTAATCCCAGTACTCAGGAGGCAGAGGCTGGTGAATCTCTGTGAATTTGAGGCCAGCCTGATTTACACAGTGAATTCTAGGACAGGCTCCGAACCTACACAGAGAAACACTGTCTCAAAAAAAATAAATAAATAAAGAGAACAAAATTCAGGAAGAGCTGAAGGGGTGAAAACTCATATACATAAAATCAGATAAAGTTAAGAATTGCAGATTTTTTCCGGGGCGGTGGTGGCATGTGTCTTTAATCCCAGCTCTCGGGAGGCAGAGGCGATCTTTGTGAGTTCGAGGTCAGCCTGGTCTACAGAGCTAGTTCAAGGACAGGCTCTAAAGCTACAGAGAAATCCTGTCTCGAAAAACAAAACAACAACAACAAAAAAAATTACAGATTTTATTTTAAAAATATTTGTTTACTTATATATTGTGTGTATACATATGTGAGTTGTCAGAGTACAGCTCACAGGAGTCTTATTTCTATTCCACCATGTGGTCCTCAACTTAGCCACAAGTGTCTCCATGCTCTGACCTGTCTTGCAGGCCCAAAACTGCACGAGTTTTCAAGTATTGGGAGGCCGTTTCTGGGAACAAAAGTCACAGAAGTTTGGCAAAACATGCAACTTACAGGACGAGATGGTAATTTAGTAGGAGGAATATATATAAATATATGTAACTCCAGCTATTCTAAAGGGTTAACAAGCCCTCTGGCTGAACTTTTTGTCTTAAAGTTCCCCTGCAGACGGCAACCAGTAGCAGCACTGTACTAAGTTAAGGCCATAAACCATTTGAGTTTAATTTTATACCCTGTGTCAGTCAGGGTTCTCTAGAGGAACAGAATCTATGGGGGGGGGGGGTATATATAAAGGGAATGTAGTAAAAAGGCTTGCAGGCTCTGATCCAGCTAGTCCAGCAGTGACTGTCTACCAATGGAAAGGCCATCTTCAGAGTACTGAGATGTGTTTCTGCTTTCAGTTGAGGAAGAATTGGGAATGAGAGATTTTTATTTTCCTCCAGAGGGAGGATTGTATCAGTACTGATCAAGATATGGACTGGTTGTTGATGACACCAGTTCTGGTTCTGCAAAGTAGTTCAAAGAAGTCCTCTGATTTAGAGGGCAAGATGAGTCTCAGATGATACTTGTGCTCTGGGGTTTCTCACTTCATAAATAATTGCCCTTACGGAACTTGGGGCGTTGATTATTCTTCTGAGAATCCAATGTGACTGCAGGTTTAGGATAGTAACTTCTCTTTGCCTTCAGCTTTGAAAGGCAAAATGATTAGAGCTAGGATAGACAACCGTTCCTTTATGGATTAACCTGCCTGGTCTCAGAATTAGTAAGGTAAGCCAAAGTAAAAGACAGACACAATGAAGGCAGAAGACACTGCTTTTGGGCCTAAGATAGGAATCACTTCAAAGACAGATTCTAAGTGTCACACAGTTTTATTGTTTGGCTGTAGATTTCCAGCTTTTCCTATTATATAAACTTCTAGAAAGGCAGACATCATCAGTATTAAGAGGAAACAAACAGTAGGTACCTCCTTGACCTGCTCCTGTGATGTTGTCAATGAAAGGGTACCTAAGGAACTTTTTAGGCTACTCGAAATATTTTTGTTTTTCTGTGTTGAGCAATAGCAAGCGTGTGTGTGTGTGTGTGTGTGTGTGTGTGTGTGTGTGTGTATAGTTCTTGCAGTGTGGGTTCTAAGGTTACAGTAAGAAGCTACTCTGACAGTCCTAAAAAGCTGTTCTCCCCCACTAGCCCTTAATTTGCCAATTCAAGGCACAATAGTGGAATTCAGAAAGCAGAAAAGGGATCTTTATTCAATATGGCTGTTGTTCTTTTTTAAAAAATGCTACAAGATCCCCGCGGCAGTAGGCAGCAGAAATGCTGTAGGTCCCAAATAGTGGTAGCAGGCCATGTGGTGGCAGGCAGCAGGCTCTGGGAGCAGCCAGTCCCAGGCAGAAATGGCTGCCAGTCCCAGAGCGGTGGCCTGAGTGGTGGTGGCAGGCCATGTGGCAGCAGACAGCGGGCCCTGGGAGCAGCCAGTCCCAGGCAGAGACGGCTGCTGGTCTCAGAGCAGTGGTGGCTGGCGGGCCATGTGGCAGCAGGCAGTAGGCCCCAGGCAGAGATGGCTGCTGGTCCCTGAGCAGTGGCTGGTCCCAGGCAGGGAGACACATGGCAGGTGGGCAGAAGACAGAAACATGGATAGACACGACATGCAGGGTGAGGTTGAAGTTTATTCAGGGGGTTATGGAGGAGGAAGGGTGAAGGGGGG